CGGCGCCGGGAGAGTACTCATCAGCGCTCGAGTGCGCGCGCACCAGCGTCGCCGCCGACGGCGTTCTCGTGCTCTGGCGCGGCTTCGTGCCCGCCTTTGTCAAGCTGGCGCCGTACACGGTCATCTCGCTCACGATGCTCGAGAAGTTCACCGCCCTCTACACCGGCGGCGCGTCCGCGCTCTGAGCGCCATCCTGCATCGCCTCGGCCGGAGCTGACGGAGAGAGGCCTCTGGCTTGCGTTGGAAGAGGCCCGGCTGCGGTCGCTCGCTCGAGGCCGCCCGCCTCGCGCTCTCGCCTGCCAGTCCCTCTCACGAAGCCGCACCGCAGCAAAGCGCGGGACGGTGGAGGGGCACAGTGGTGTGGTGTACCGTAGTGCGTGGTGTCTCAGTGAAGTCGGTACACCGTCTACCGACGCCCCACACACACACAAATAAGAAATATTATGCATGTCTTTTGGCATGTGCCGCATGTGTCGACTCGAGCGAAGCCTGAGCAGGGGGCCAGGGCGGCCAGACCCAGAGCTCACACTCCTCACACGCTTTTTTGGCTCGCTCTGCGTCATGCGCATTTCACCGGTTTCTGCCTGGCAAAAGGCCGACGTTCCGTGTGCATGACGTGTCCACCAAAAGCTCCCTACAGCTACACAGCTCAATGTATGCCAACACTCAAACCGTACGTGTACGTGTGTGTAGGAAGGCCTGGCGCGAGACCGGTCTTCACGCCCCGCTCGCCTGGGGGCCCTCACTCCCAACCGTATATGTCATCGGCTCGCTCCCACGAGCTAGTGTTGAGCTCCCACCTCACTCGCTCGTCGCGGTGCGTAAGCGCAAGAACGCGCTCGTGGCGGCTCTCAGTAGACGCTGATTCCGGCGGCACTGTCGGGCCCGACCTCGTAGTCATCGAAAGCACGATTCCAATCGTCGCCCTGCGGAAGCACGAGCGGGTTCTGCTCGGTCACGTCTTGGCGCAGCCCGGGTTCTTGAAGAGCTTGCTGCGCCGCTGCTCCGCGAATGCCGCGGAAGAGGCCGGTCTTCGTGAGCTTGATCGAGCACAGCGGGAACTTGGTGCGCAGGACGTGCAGGAAGCCCATGGTCATCTCGACTGCGGCGCCGTTGCCCAAGGGACCGGC